GTCACTGTATGAATCCTTTAAGAGACAGAATCAGGTCACGGTTATAGCATCCTATTTCTCAGCCAGTGCCACCTGCCACTTATCATCATCCTCAACCCTGTTTCTATCTAGCATGCTTGTGGGGCTAGAATATTTCTGCTTAGCATTGCAGACAGCCCACAATGATGTTTCTACATTTTCTGCTAATGTATCATGAAGAGATTCAACGAGAAATGAAGACTGATATGAAGAAGTGAAGAAGTGGATGAACTGGTTGACGAGAGATCCTGTAGATGATTGGAAGGTGACCAATGCCGTAACCTGGCACAAAAATGTGGATGAGCAGCACAGGCATGTTAATATTATGAAACCAAAAAACAAAGGTCAAGAGTCCTGGAAGGTTGCAGTACAATAAGACATCCTTAGATGAAAGCATTGAGTAACCAACTAGAAGTGCAATAAGACAGTCTAACCAGGGCTCGAGTCCTTCAGGAACGCTTGGGAACGGTGTTCCTGCACTTTTTTTACAACAGGAACGCCGTTCCCGTTGCTCCTTCAGGCACTAACCAGGGGGCGGCAAAAAATGTCGCCCCCAAAGGCCCACCGTGTTCCCACTGTCATGTGGGGGCCTAAGAGGTGGCCTAATGCCCACCTGATGGACCCTCTGACGGGGGCGGCTGTCTCCCTGTCAGACACGGCGAGGGAGCTGTGTTCTCTCTGCTCTGCTCCCTCGTTCAACGTTTGTTGATGCCGGGAGCCAGAATATGACGTCATATTCTGGCTCCCAGCATCAGTAGATAGCCGGCACAGCACGAGGGAGCAGATCAGAGAGAACACAGCTCCCTCACCGCATCTGACACGGAGACAGTCGCCCGCCACACTGAAGTCCCACTGGACCCCATGGACAGGTCCACGCCAGCTCTCCAAGGAGGGAGGCTGGTTGGACATTTTTAAATTTAAAAAATATGAATAATTTGTGTGTTTCTGTGAGTGTATGTGTGCATGTGTGTGCGTGTGTGTGTGAGTGTATGTGTACGTGTGTATGTGTGTGTGTGTCTGTGAATATGTGTGTGTATGTGTGTGTCTGAGTGTGTCTGTGTATGTATGTGTGTGTCTGTGAGTGTATGTCTGAGTATGTGTGTGTGTCTGTGAGTGTATGTGTGTGTGTCTGTGAGTGTATGTGTGTGTCTGTGAGTGTATGTCTGAGTATGTGTGTATGTCTGTGAGTGTATGTGTGTGTCTCTGAGTGTATGTCTGAGTATGTGTGTGTGTGAGTGTATGTGTGTGTGTCTGTGAGTGTATGTCTGAATATGTGTGTGTGTGTGTGAGTGTATGTGTGTGTCTGTGAGTGTATATCTGAGTGTATGTGTGTGTGTCTGTGAGTGTATGTCTGAGTATGTGTGTGTGTCTGTGAGTGTATGTGTGTGTGTCTGTGAATATATGTGTGTGTGTGTATGTCTGTGTGCATCAGTGAGTGTATGTGTCTGTGAGTGTCTGAGTATGTGTGTCTGAGTGTATGTGAGTGTATGTGTGTGTGTCTGTGAGTGTATGTATGTGTGAGAGTGTGTGTCTGTTAGAGTGTGTGTATCTGTGTGTGTATCTGTGTGTGTGTGTGTGTGTGTGTATGTCTGTGAGTGTATGTCTGAGTATGTGTGTGTGTGTCTCTGAGTGTATGTGTGTGTGTGTGTGTGTGTGTGTGTGAATGTATGTGTGGGTTTGTGAGTGTATGTGTGTGTCTTTGAGTATGTGTGTGTGTCTGAGTATGTGTGTTTGTCTGAGTGTGTGTGTCTGAGTGTATGTGAGTGTGTGTGTGTAACGGATCACATAGCACCCCGACTGGGTACCAGTCTATGAGGACCCCTACTTCGGGTTCCTCCGGCCGCCTCAGGGGAAGACGGCTAACCTCCTCGCATGCAGTCTCTACTCGGCTGCTGTGACACTCCTTCCGCTGAGCATACTCTCTCTCTTTCGCCAGCCGGAATTCTCTGTCCAGCCTTGTGTTTCGCTCGGCCGTGACCTGGTTCCAGATCACCCGGCGTACCTCCATGGGTACATCATCCCCATACTGGGCCACTCGCTGCCTCACCTCGGCCATCCAATCATCGCCAGAGCCTTCCATACTTGTCTGCTCCAAGTCGCTGAATACCTCTGCTCCCAGGGGCGCTGCACGTGTGCTAGTGTTGCCCTCAATTTGTAACTCCACGAACGGTGTCTCTGAGGTGCTTTACCTCGCACTAGAACGCCATCCCACCGCTGCCACCAATGTAACGGATCACCTAGCACCCTGACTGGGTACCTCCGTTGAAGGATGCTCCTAGCGCTTCTTGAGGACTCCAAGCACTGCAGGAGACACCACAACCACCGAACCGGAGAAGCATATGAATGCTCTCAAGCATATGAATGCTGTAAGCAGCTGTACATTACAGAAAACACTCCCAGCAATTATACACAAAATTCTCCCCTCTGCTTGTGATCTAATTATGGCACACAATGGGTTAACATAATTATCACAAGCAGGAAAAATACAGTATCATAAAACACATCACAGGGACCCCAAAACACACAATAACCCCATAAAAACTACATATCCAAAATTCACCCAGATCCGTTCAGTACTTTGGAAGATACAGTTTAATGCAGATTCCACAGAGCATATGCAGGCTATATGAAAAACAATTACTGTATAATGTGTCCCCTGTTGTATAGTCCAAAACCACTGCACGATGTCTCTGTGCACCAAATACCGGCGAGATGACACCGTGTTGAAAAGTCCAAACAGTGTCTGTGAGTTAAAATGGCCACCATCCATTGTTCTCACCATGTGCTTCATCCATTGTTCTCACCATGTGCCTATGATACAGGAAATGGTGGCCACGCAGTAACTCCACAGTATGTCCCCAGATGGTTCTTAAAGGGCCAGCAGCAGCACAACACAAATCCATTATGCCCAAATCATGTCTTTAAAGGGCAATACATCCCAGGGACCATAGTCACATGTCAGGAGGCTGGCAATCAGTCTTCTCCAAAGCCCAATGGCGAGGTCAGTTTCGCCACAGTGTGTCTGAGTATGTGTGTGTGTCTGTGAGTGTATGTATGTATGTGTGAGAGTGTGTGTGTCTGTGTGTGTGTGTGTGTGTGTGTGTGTATCTGTGTGTGTATCTGTGTGTGTGTATGAGTGTAGGCGTGTGTCTGGGAGTGTATGTGTGTGTGAGTACCTGTCAATGTGTGTGTGCACGCGTTTATATATGTATACGAGTGTATATTTTTTGGGGGGGTGGAGGGGCGGTGGATCTTGGGTGAGTTCCCACACTTTATTCCCCAGGACTTGACCCCTGAGTTTAACAATCTAAATACACAAATCTGTGTTTGGGACTAGAGCTATATAGAAGATGATTAAAGGGAAACTATAGTGCCAGGAAAACAAACTTGTTTTCCTGGCACTATAGAAACATAGAATGTGACGGCAGATAAGAACCATGTGGCCCATCTAGACTGCCCAATTTTCTAAATACTTTCATTAGTCCCTGGCCTTATCTTATAGTTAGGATAGCCTTATGCCTATCCCACGCATGCTTAAACTGCTTTACTGTTTTAACCTCTACCACTTCAGCTGGAAGGCTATCCCATGCATCCACTACCCTCTCAGTAAAGTAATACTTCCTGATATTATTTTAAACCTTAGTCCCTCTAATTTAAGACTGTGTCGTCTTGTTGTGGTAGATTTTCTTATTTTAAATGTAGTCTCCTCCTTTACTGTGTTGATTCCCTTTATGTATTTGAATGTTTCTATCATATCCCCGCTGTCTCGTCTTTCCTCCAAGCTATACATGTTAAGATCCTTTAACCTTTCCTAGTAAGTTTTATCCTGCAATCCATGAACCAGTTTAGTAGGCCTTCTCTGAACTCTCTCTAAGGTATCAATATCCTTCTGAAGATACGGTCTCCAGTACTGCGTACAATACTCCAAGTGAGGTCTCACCAGTGTTCTGCACAATGGCATGAGCACTTCCCGCTTTCTACTGCTAATACTTCTTCCTATACAACCAAGCATTCTGCTAGCATTTCCTGCTGCTCTATTACATTGTCTGCCTACCTTTAAGTCATCAGAAATAATCACCCTAAATCCCTTTCCTCATATGTTGAGGTTAGGACTCTATCAAATATTCTGTACTCTGCCCTTGGGTTTTTACGTCCAAAATGCATTATCTTGCACTTATCCACATTAAATGTAAGTTGCCACAACTCTGACCATTTCTCTAGTTTACCTAAATCATTTGCCATTTGGCTTATAAACCCTGTTGCATATCTTAGTATCATCAGCAAAAACACATACCTTACCATCAAGACCTTCTGCAATATCACTAATAAAAATATTAAAGAGAATGGGTCCAAATACAGATCCCTGAGGTACCCCACTGGTGACAAGCCCAAGCTTCGAATATACTCCATTGACCACAACCCTCTGTTGCCTGTCACTCAGCCACTGCCTTACCCTTTCAACAATATTGGAATCCAAACTTAAAGATTGCAGTTTATTGATAAGCCTTCTATGTGCAGCAGTGTCAAAAGCCTTACTGAAATCTAGGTAAGCAATGTCTACTGCACCACCCTGATCTATAATTTTAGTTACCCAATCAAAAAATCAATAAGATTAGTTTGGCATGATCTCCCTGAAGTAAACCCATGTTGTCTCTGATCTTGAAATCCATGTGTTTTAGATGTTCAACAATCCTATCCTTTAACATGGTTTCCATCACTTTCCCCACTACTGAAGTAAGACTTACTGGCCTATAGTTGCCTGACTCCTCCCTATTACCTTTCTTGTAAATGGGCACAACATTCGCTAACTTCCAATCTTCTGGGACTACTCCTGTTAACAATGATTGGTTAAATAAATCTTTTAATGGTTTTGCTAGTACACCACTAAGCTCTTTTAATAGCTTTGGGTGTATTCCATCAGGTCCCATTGACTTATTTGTCTTTACTTTTGACAGTTGAAATAGAACCTCTTCCTCTGTAAACTCACGTGTAATAAATGACTCATTTATCCTTTTTCTCAACTGAGGTCCCTTTCCTTCATTTTCTTCTGTAAATACAGAACAAAAATATTCATTGAGGCAGTCAGCCTGACCTTTATCCTCTTCTGCATACCTTCCTTCTTTTGTTTTTAATCTAACTAATCCTTGTTTTACTTTTCTTTTCTCATTTATGTATCTAAAAAAAGTTTTGTCCCCCTTTTTTACTGACTGTGCTATTTTCTCTTCTGTATGAGATTTGGAAGCTCTTATAACTTGCTTAGCCTCTTTCTGCCTAATCTTATAGATCATTCTGTCTACCTCGCTCTGTGTTTTTTTTTTTTATTACTAAATGCTAACTTTTTGTTTTTTTCTATTTTGGCCACATCTGCAGAGTACCACAGTGGTTTCTTGAATTTTTTGCTTTTACTGACAAGCCTAATGCAATTTTCTGTTGCCTTCATTAGTGCAACTTTTAAATAATCCCATTTCTCTTGGACTCCATTTAAATTGCTCCAGTCTGATAATGACTCCTTTACACATATTCTAATTTTAGAAAAGTCTGTTTTTCTAAAGTCTAGAACTTTTGTTTTTGTGTGGTGTGGCTCAGTCACTGTTCTTATATTAAACCACACTGACTGATGATCACTGGATACTAAACTTTCACCTACAGTAATATCTGATACCAAATCTCCATTTGTTAGCACTAAATCTAGTATGGCCTCTTTACGAGTTGGCTCCTCAACGACTTGTTTTAGAGACAATCCCAGTAGGGAGTTTAGAATATGTGTGCTCCTGGCACAAGCAGCTATTTTTGTTTTTCAATTCACATCAGGAAGATTAAAGTCACCCATGATGATAACTTCCCCCTTCATTGTCATTTTAGCTATTTCCTCAACTAGTAGATTATCTAACTCTTCCATTTGTCCTGGGGGCCTATAAATCACACCTACACGAGTTACTGTGTGATTACCAAATTCTAACGTAACCCAAACGGACTCTATGTTCACCTCACTAACTTTTATTAGGCTAGATTTTATGCTATCCTTCACATACAGGGCCACCCCTCCCCTTTCTTGCCTTCCCTGTCTTTTCTATATAAAGAGTACCCTGGTATTGCTATGTCCCAGTCATTTTTCTCATTATACCATGTCTCAGTAACAGCGACTAAATCTACACTATAAGTTGCCATTATTGCCACAAGTTCATGGATCTTATTCCCTAAACTGCGAGCATTTGTAGACATGACTCTAAGCTTATCATTTTTTAACACACTTGCTACAGGCACCTTCTGTCCTTGTTTTGGGGGACAATTGGATTGATGTTTTATCACCCTTTTGCCCCCCCTCCTAGTTTAAATACATCCTAGCAAAACCTCTGAACTGCTCACTGAGAACATTTGTTCCCTTTTGAGAAAGATGCAAACCATCTTTTTTGTACAGTTTATTTCCATTCCAAACAGAGCTACCATGAGAAATAAAGCCAAATCCTTGCTCCCGACACCATTCACCAAGCCACAAGGTGAATCAAGTCTCTATTATGCATCCGCCTGTCATTCTGAGTGTTATGCACAGGCAGAACTTCAGAGAATGACAGTGCGGAAGCAACCTGCCATATATCATTGGCAAAAACACTAAAAACTTCCTTAACCTCTGAACCCTCATTGCATGTGTGTGTGTGTGTGTGTGTGTGTGTGTGTGAGTGTGTGTGTGGGTCTGTGAGTGTATGTGTGTGTCTGAGTATGTGTGTGTGTCTGAGTATGTGTGTCTGAGTGTATGTGAGTGTGTCCCTAAGAAGCCGGAAGTCCCTCTAGTGGCTGTCTGGTAGACAGCCACTACGATAGGAGTTAACACTAGCAGGTAATTACCCCTCTAGAGTTAAGGGTGATGGGTGTTGGCACCCAGACCACTTCAATGAGCTGAAGTGGTCTGGGTGCCTACAGTGTCCCTTTAACCAGAATCTCACATACCGATACTATAGCAAATCCATACTTCCTTTCTCTCAGTTCTACCACCTTTTCCAACGCCCTCTTCCGAATAGAAAATGTGCTGCTTAGTTTACATCCCCCCAAGGAAGTTGATTTGCCTGAGGCACTCTAGGACCTGAAACTGATATTTGTATAAAGTGTATCTGCTTGGATTCTGTATAACTATGAATGAGAAGATGGCTGTGCAATGCATTTAAAATGGTTCTCAGAATAGTATGACAATTGAAAAGGCATTTCTGAGACACAACAGCAAAATAATATTGCCTATAACTTCAAGAGGAGTGAATACAAGGGACAAAATGTCTCTGTGTTAATACTTAAATATTGAGGACAGCGGTGGCTCATGAAAAAGTTCTTATGAAATGTGCTTTGAAAAGGAGAAAAAAGTAAATAAAAAAAATAAAAAAGTTTAAGTTGTATAACTATATCTTATAACTATATATTAAACTAGGAAAAATGCCTATATACTGCTATATTGCATAAATATACTTGAGATCAATAAGAATAAATCTCTAGTTTATTTTAGCATTCTTTTCAGATAATTGGAATCTATCCCTTCAGCAATCTACTTCCCCCATAGAATTTGGGCAATTGGTATGCAAGCTGTTCAATAATTCCAAGTATAAATTCTGGGTTACAGTGGAAGGCCATAAACCCTTCTTAATAATCTCTATTCCTGTATTAATTTAAAGGAACACTATAGTCACCTAAATTAATTTAGCTAAATAAAGTAGTTTTCGTGTATAGATCATTCCCCTGCAATTTCACTGCTCATTTAGGAGTTAAATCACTTTGTTTCTGTTTATGCAGCCCTAGCCACACCTCCCCTGACTATGATTGACAGAGCCTGCATGAAAAAAAACTGGTTTCACTTTCAAACAGATGTAATTTACCTTAAATAATTGTATCTCAATCTCTAAATTGAACTTTAATCACATACAGGAGGCTCTTGCAGGGTCTAGCAAGCTATTAACATAGCAGGGGATAAGAATATCTTAATTAAACAGAACTTGCAATAAAGAAAGCCTAAATAGGGCTCTCTTTACAGGAAGTGTTTATGGAAGGCTGTGCAAGTCACATGCAGGGAGGTGTGACTAGGGTTCATAAACAAAGGGATTTAACTCCTAAATGGCAGAGGATTGAGCAGTGAGGCTGCAGGGGCATGTTCTATACACCAAAACTGCTTCATTAAGCTAAAGTTGTTCAGGTGACTATAGTGTCCCTTTAACATGAAATATTAACAGATTCTTTTTTATGTTCTCATACTATATAAAGGGATTCTGATTAAACAAATATACCACAATTTTACAAAATAAAACATCTTGATCCAATATTTACCATCTATAAAAATGAAATATGTATTCCTATTGAGAAGATTATTTGAGTCAAATGTTAAGTCAAAACTTCTGGCCGTAAAAGTAACTGCAGCCTTCAATAACAGTCACTAACATGTGCTAAAATAGTAAATACTAGCAATGAGCCACTTTTCGTTTATAAATCCCTATGCAAAATGGAATTAAACAATCTATTCTGTGCCTATTTATGTATATCTCGAACCTAGATCCGGTTAAAAAAAGGCCAAATTCAATTGATGCTCAAAATATGCTGCCATACTGATGCTTGTGACTGGGAGGGGTGCAAAACCAGGGAGTTGGCCTCGACTCCCAATTATATATATATATAGAACAAGGTGGCTGCACCCATCTGATCTTGTGTTTTGGACGAATTGTCCCCAGCAACACCCTTTTATGCATGTTCAGGTGAGTGAAGCCCCCTGGTTTCATATCTTATATATATATTTGGGAGTCTAGTCCAACTCCCTGGTTTTGCACCCCTCCCCTCTCACAGGTGCCTCATTCCAGGGCCTTATTTAGCCTTGTGCTGCAGAGAACTCTAGATGGAATTCTCCCCAACCCCTGACATTAGGTTGTTCGAGTAGGACCTGCCAAAGATGGGGTACATTGATGTTGCGGCAAGCTTACGCAATGTAGGATCATATACTAAACCCCCATTATTTTTGCCAAATGCCAAAGATGGGGTACATTGACGTTGTGGCAAGCTTACGCAATGTATGATCATATACTAAACCCCCATTATTTTTGCCAAATGCCAAAGATGGGATACATTGACGTTGTGGCAAGCTTACGCAATGTATGATCATATACTAAACCCCCATTATTTTTGCCAAATGCCAAAGATGGGGTACATTGACGTTGTGGCAAGCTTACACAATGTATGATCATATACTAAACCCCCATTATTTTTGCCAAATGCCAAAGATGGGGTACATTGACATTGTGGCAAGCTTACGCAATGTATGATCATATACTACACCCCCATAATTTTTGCCTAGATTAGGTGTTTAAAAAACAAAACAAAAAAAAACCTATTACATTCTGTAAGCTATGAAGTTGCTGTTTAGTGGATGAGTGCTCTGGATCTTGTGTTTAGTATATGATAGAGGAATATTGCTTTAATCATTGTTTTATAGCACTACACAATGAGGAGCATTCTTGTAACTGTAATCATGTGTTTTGATACGTTCAATTATACTTTTCTGAACTGCTGACCAAGATTTTCCAGTTATACATGGTTGTGAATTATCCTTTTGTCTTCTTCAGCTCAAAATGTACACTCAACCAAACAGTGTAAATATACACATAGTCACACACAGAACTAAATTACTAGCAGAACATATAATTTTACAGTACCCAGCTTAGAACAATTACAGTACTTTAATTTCCTTTGTTATTTCTGAAGATAATTAAAAATCCTAGCACAGCTGTAGACCGGAACAGTTTTTTACAAGCACATTTAAAAAAGGAATTGTTTACGTGCATGCCCAATGAATTTTTGATACATTCTTTAGTAACATATTTTTATTTAAAGGAACACTCCAGGTACACACAAAGGTTAGGTTAATTATGGACCTACCCCTACAATTACTGAGTTGGTTGATTATTTTTATTTTATTTTTTAAATCCGCTTAGAAATAATCATTTTGCTCCATTAGCCCAACCTTCTTTCCACTGTCTCCCATCCTGCAGTGTTTACATTTTTTGCTCAAAAAATACTACTGTAGATGATGTCAGGGACGAACTAACAGTGGCCTGGGCCCCCGGGCAAAACTAGGACCTGGACCCCCTGCAGACTGATATATATGCTGATAAATTTTGCCTCGGCCAAAATTTGGACCTGGCCCTCCTTACCCGCCCTGTTAAAAAGG